CAACAGTAAGGACTTTCTTTAAATAAGTTTGACCTAGTTACTGACAATAACATCTAGCTGTTAACCAGTAATATGGTAGCAACCATCAAGGTATCAGTGAGTTGAGATAGTAATTTTATACTCATAGGAATAGAAACTTATTGCATATTCCATGTTGTCCTTAGTGATTTATCATGTACTAAATTTATCATATATACAGACACAATACATATATAAAACAAAAATTCTCTGTACATGTGTCACATATTGTATTTCATAATTTTTTCTGGTTGCTATAAAATTATTATAAAAATTAAACTATTAATGGATTATTTTAGTCATCAGTGGAAATGACTCATCCAAAGGGAGAGTTTGCCACTAAGAGTCAACTGCAGGTTATAATCAGCTCCCCATTCACCCACTCAAACACCTGGAGATGTACTTCACTTTCTTCCCACCTAATACCCCCAGAAGTCATCTGGGAAAGGAATTTAAATGTTCCTCAGTAGATAGACACCTTTATTAGCACCAGTGTAACCAAATTTATCCTGAAGTTCTAATCAGGATTTTTTGACCAGTCAATTCAAATCAATCTCCATCCATTTCATTCAACAATGTTGACCAAACACCTTCTTAAGTCAGACACTGTTCTAGGCACCGGGCATACAGTGGTATGCAAAACAGACAAAAATCCCTTTTCTCGCAGAGCTTGCATCCTGTTGGGAGGAGACAGAAATTAAACAAATAAATGTTGGTTCTAAAAAAGAGTAATAAAGCATGGGTAAGTGTGTAGGTGTATTGGGTTATGAGGGAGATAAAGTGATAAAGTAAGCAGTGACTCTGAAAATGGGTTCTAGATGGTGGAACAGCAGGTGTACGGGCCCTGAAGTGGGAGTGGTTTTGTATGTTGAAGATAGTCAGAAGGATAGTGTGACATGAGTGAGACAAGCAAGAAGGATGGCAGTAGTTTAGATCTAGACATATCTGAATAAGAACCAGATCATGTGTGGGCCATGATTAAGTCCTTGGATTTTATTCAGAGGCAAAAGGTTCTAAAAGAGGGATATAATTTGATTCACTATGTTGTAATCTGACTATCTGAGGTTATTTGTCTATGTATACTCCCTTTTCCTATCTAAAATAAAGACCTGAACTTTTATTTTATTTTATTTTTAGATTTTATTTATTTATTTATACAAGCACTGGGTATAGTCAGAAGCGCGGGAGGGTGAGAGGATTCACCAGAGACAGAGTGGGAAACAGAACAGGCAGACTGATGAAATACACTACTGAGGGGAGCAGTGGGCGCGGCAGGAGAGGTCTGCTTGCCATGTGGGACCCTCACCAGCAGCCAGGGATCAAACCAGCGCTGCAGAGGCTGCGGGCAGCTTCGCAGCCCAGGGCTCAACCGCTGCACCACCAGGGGGAGGCCCTAGACTTTTAAAGTCTTGGATTTGAAAGAAGGATATTTTGGAGGGAGAAGCCCAGCTGACCCTGCTGTTCCAAGGCCCCCCTCCCCCACCCCCAGTGTTGACTTTTGCAGGCAGGGGTCTTACTTTGATGGCTCCTGCTACTGCCATGCTGGCCCACACACTTAGAATGTTCTGGCTCAAGGTTCACCAGAGCTCTGTTCTTTCCCTGGGTTTCCCTTAGGACAGCTCCAACAGATTTACAAACTGAGAACTTCATCAGCTCTGGTTTCAAGTAAATCCAAGTTAATAGTAATTTCCCAATTCATTTGTTCTGACCCTTTCATCAAATAGTGCCTCATCTCCCCTTTATTCCCAGGCCATGGTGATATGAAAATATTTAAAAACAAGGGCATAACCTAAGCAAATTAGAGGCTCAAACTGAAGCAGGCATTAACCCTTTGGTTTTGGATCCTCTGGCGGCAGGTTGAGGCAGCAGAAGGTAAAAGGGGAAATGTGCTTGGAGCTTTGGCTAGCTACCAATGAATATATAGAAGTATCTCAACATTTTCACAAGTGGTTTTGTTGGCCCTCATACTTGTCTGTGTGGCACCCATTCTCGTTGCCATATATAGGGCCTTAGCTATAAGTTTGCCAGGTTCTTGATGGCGGCAGACAAAAAAGCAGGTCACAAAGCCATTATGTGGGGAGCAGGAACAAGTCTTTCTTACAAGGCAGCAGGAGATACGCAGGTAGCAACAGCATCATCTCTCCAGTGAGAGCAGTTCAACCCAGTGGCTCCAGCGACAGCAGCCTAGTGACAGCTCTTGGTGGTGGTAGGCCACTCAGGCCCTGTGGACCCCCCTTTATCCTCCTTGGGCTCCCACGGCACCTCATCCCTGGCAGCAGCAGCAGTAGCAGCAGCAGCAAAGGCAGCAACAGAAATAGCAGTAGCAACAGTGGCCCCATCCAACAGGGGCAGCCCCCTGGGCTCCCTTTGCAGCAGTGGCCCCTAGCCCATCAGCGGGTGACCCACCCAGGAGCTCTATTTACTTTTATATGATTTATAGACAAAGCCAGGACAGGGCCAAGTTTAAGCCTACTGTGTTTATGCACATGAGAACTACACATCAAGGTTACATACTATTTACTACTTTCTGTACATGCAGACTACATCTCAAGGCTACATGTTGTCTATTAGGCCACCTGTGCTGTAAGGCCTTGGCAAAAAAAACCATGAGAAACTCTGAGAAAACTCTATTTTTTTTTTCTCCACAGGCCCTACAGGTATGATTTTATCCCAGCACATCAGATGAATGTCAGCTCTCTAAGTATGTCTGAACTTTGATTTGGGCAAAAGCTGCCCAATGCCTTGGAATTTTACTTTTGGGCCAATTGTTAACAGTGCCTGATAAGTTCTTTTCCATTGAGGTGCAAGTGAAATTTTTAAAAAATATTTATTTATGCATACAATAATTGGGGTACAGGCCAGAGGTATATGTGTAGGGGGTAGAGGATTCACCAGAGACAAAGTGGGGAGTAAACAGGCAGACTGAAATACACTGCTGAAGGGAGCAGCGGTGAGACAGGAGAGGTCTGCTGCACCATGTGGGTAGCTCCCTGGCCGGGGATCGAACTAATGCTGCAGAGGCTGCAGATAGCTTCATAGGTTGTGTCTTAACCCCTCGCGCCACTAGGGAGGCCCACAAATGAAAATTCTTAAAGCTATTTTGTCAGAAGACCAAATTTTTGGATTTCAGAGCAGGGAGAGGTTGTTTAAGTGAGTGCTTTGGAATGCAGGTTCTACATACCTTATAGGACTTTTTGTATGGATCCCCTGCAACAATTAGTCATCAGTTTGTACTGCGGAAGACTCTAGCACTGGAAGTAGTTCCTAAATACATGATATCCCATTATCAACTCAGGAGATAACTTGTGGGTTGGACCCTTAGAAGGGATTTTATTGCTATCAAGCCAGATGGAAGTATTTTGAGCCTTGAAAGTTCATGTTTCTGAGAGTTTTGATAGTTTTATAATTACATTAGTTCTCTTCTTTTTCCTGAAAGTTTGTGGATGATAAAGATATTGGGGTTTCTTAGTAAATAGTAAAGCTTTATAGAATTACCTAACAATGGTATCAATGAAATGTGTGTGCTTATTACTGCAGGGATTCACTGGGACTTCTTAAGTCAAAAGTGCAAAATGAGCAACCTCCCCACCGCCATGACAGTAGGCCCTCTCTAGTGGGAAAAGCCTCAACCTACTTTAAAGAGAGTTGTACTTGAGTGTATTCCCAGTCCATTTAGAGGTGTTCAAAGGAGACCTGAGGTTTTGGGCTACAGTTCATGTTTTGCCTTGCTAGTCTTGCCAGAGTTGAGTCACTTGCAGATAGGATATATATCCTGGGCAATACCCCTAAAATTCTACCAATGTTGGTTCAACATCATTGCCAATGTATCTCTTCTATTGTGGGTAATACCATGAGAAATTTTTGCTCAACTCCACTTTAATTATGGCTATTTCCTTAAGTAATAACAAAGCATCTCAAGATTCTTTAAGTTGTCATTCATTTTCCAGGGGCTTGTGAAGGGGTCAGGAAATCTATTTTTTTTGGGGGGGGGGAACCCTCGCTGGTGGCCGGGGATCGAACTGGCGCTCCGGAGACTGTGGGCAGCCTCGCAACCCAGCGCTCAACCACTGCGCCACCAGGGGAGGCCCAGGAAATCTATTTCTAAAGCATTTCACAGTCACTAACCAGCCCCCAAACATAGGCACTATCAGTATAAATATCTTTTATTGGCAGATTTTTGCTCTTTTATCCTTTATTAGCTGATAGGTCTGGGTCAGGGCAATTACTGCACTTACAGAAGATCTCGGAGGATATTGACTCAGCCAGTCACTTAACTAGGTAAAAGCCTCGGGGCACGTTATTTTTCTGAGCCTTTGGCTCTTCAAATATTAAATGGTAATAATACTTGCTCACAGAACTGTAAGCATTTTATGAGTTACTGTAGCAATAATCAACGAATAATACCTACATGAAATCCTTCACTTTGGCCATATCCTTTAATTATCACAATCTCCTATGCGATGGTCTATATTTTACAGACGCTCAGTCACAACACGGTGTGTAGCGATATATTCGACCTCCATCTTTCTGATACCAGACCTCAGTTCTTACCTGGCCCCTCTGTCCCTGAGACTTTTCCACTCTTAGGGTCTACATTATGTCACATAGAAGGTACTTGATCTTAAAAACATTATAATTTGCAAATTCAATTGGCATGGGTTTGTTCTGGGATCTGATCTTTCCTCAGCGCAAGGGCAAAATTCAGTTTTGGCTCAACCCGGCCGAGGGCTAAATTCCCCCCTCCTCCAGAGGAGCCCAGCCCGGGTTTATTGTGAGCTTATAGTACTGTGAGTAAGATCCCACCCGGTGACGGGGGCAAAGTGGTGGCGTCGTCCGTCGCCAACCCTCCCCCCCCCATCTCCAGCCTTCCCGCCCACCCCAGCGGGGCGTCCTTAGCAACGCGCGGGCTCACTCCCAGCCCCGCCCGCCGCGCCCTCCGGCGCCCCGCGCCAGGCGGCGGCAGCCTTTGCGCTTGCGCGCGGGAGCAACCGCCGGCCGGCGCTCTCCCCTCCCTCCCCCTCCCCTCGCCTCCTCCTCAGCCTCCTAGAACGAGACACCAACATGGAGCCTGAGGACCTGCCGTGGCCCAGCGAGCTGGAGGAGGAGGAGGTGGAGGTGGAGGAGGTCGAGGAGGCGGAGGAGGAGCCGGAGGCGGGGAGCTTGGGCGAGGACGAGGTGGTGACGGTGGAGGATGTGGAGGAGCAGGGCCTGGAGCTGGGCGCCGACTGCGGCTGCGAAGCCCCGCCGCGGGAGTGTACGGACGACGAGGACGACGAGGAGGCCAAGGCCTGGCTGGAGGCGCAGCCCAGCGGGACTCTGACTGCACCGACGCTTCCGAGGCATCGCTACCTCGCGGGCGAGCGGCCCGGCCCGGAGAGGGTGAGCCCGGCGGGAGGGGTCGGGGGTGCGTCGAGCCCCTGAGCGCCCGCCCGCGCAGCCCCGCTTCTCGCGCGCCGCCTGTCGCGGCCCCGGGCTAGTAATTGCGCGAACTGGGGTACAGGCCAGAGATGCGGGGGGTGAGAGGATTCACCAGAGACAGAGCGGGGAACAGAAGAGGCAGACTGACTGAAATACACTGCTGAGGGGGCAGCCGGTGAGTCAGGAGAGGTCTGCCGCGCCATGTGGGTTGCTCCCTGGCCGGCCGGGGATCGAACTCGTGCTGCAGAGGCTGCGGACAGCTTCACAGTGCTGTGCTCAACCCCTCGCGCCACCAGGGAGGCCCGTAATTGCACTTTTAAGGGCTGGCCGGAGCCATCTGGCTTCCTGGGTCCCGACTCTTGGCCTGCCTGTCTGCTTCCAGTCTCACTCTCTTTTTCTTATTTCAAAGACTTGCCTTTACTCTCCCTCACTTCTCGGGTCTTTTGAATTGCATTAAAAGTTCAGTACCCGTAGTAAACCGCTTTGGGGAGGAGGTGGAGCTTACCGTGCTCTGACGGAGGGGGACGGGTAGCTTAGGCGGGGAGAGTGTGGTTGCCCTGGGCGATTTGGTTGGCGAGACAATTAAGAGATTAGTTTGCCTGAAGTGCTGGGCGCCCCTTGAGGGAAACTGTGTGCGTTGTATACACTGCGTGATTAATCTCCTGCGGCTTCTCGCCGTTTGTGCTTCCCTGAACTCATGTGTAACGTTAAAAGGTTTTTTCGCCGGTAAGAAGGTCTAGGAATGCAGAAGGCTCACGCTGCAGTTCCAAACTGTGGAAAACTAGAAAGCGTAAGGAGAAAGAGCTGATTTTAGGGTTGGCTCTCCTGAAAACCAATTTGAAAAGAACCGCTTGTAGTTTATCGCTTTTCAAAAAAAAAAAAAAAAAATTCAGGGCGAAAAGAGGTGTGCGCTACTCAGATATCAAGTGATCAGACGTTCATTAAGTTTTCCATTCTTTGCAAGGTACATTGTGGGGACAAAAAGAAACCTAGATTTTATTGCTTTTTTGAGACATGATGTAAACTATGCGAAGTGAAGCAAAGTACAGAAATTGAAAAGACTGAGACAAGACTGTACACCTGTGCTGTTCACTACAGTAGTTGTCAGCCCCCATGTGGTCTTTGCATCTTAGTCGAAGTTAAAATTCAGTGTCTCTGTTGTACCAACACTTTTCAGGTGCTCATTAGCAACACCCTTTTGGACAATGTAGACACAAAATAATCCCATCATTACAGAAAGTTCTTTTAGACAATGATATTATAGACACTTGATCATCAGAGAGCAATAGTTGTTGTTTTGCCTGGTATATATTCCAGCGAGGACTTAATTCATTGAACATTATGTTATTGCACATTCACCATGGGCCATACATTGTTCTGGATGCCAAGGAACCTCGGTAAACCCCAACATATTTTTGTCTGACTTTCTAGTATTTGCAGTCTAGAGTAGGGGGCAGACCATTTTTGTTTTCTTATGTTATTTTAAAGATTTATTTATTCATGCATACAACAGCTGGGGGTACAGGCCAAAGGTGTGTGTGGGGGAGGGTGAGAGTATTCACCAGAGACAGAGGAGGGAACAGAACAGGCAGATAGACTGAAGTATACTGCTGAGGGAAGCAACAGGCGAGTGAGGAGAGGTCTGCTGCCCCATGTGGGTAGCTCCCTGGCTGGCTGGGAATTGAACTCGTGCTGCAGTGGCTACGGGTTGCTTCATAGGTTGTGTCCCAACCCTTGTGCCACCAGGGAGGCCCCAGGAGGCAGACCATTTAAATGGTCACATAAATAAATGAAAAGCTGATATATGCTAATGTGTTTGGAAAGCATAGTTTAAGAGAATCTGACCTTGTCAATGAAGCTGGGGAAAGCCTTCTTGAAGAAGTCATGACAGCCGAGACCTGACAACAGATTGATTAGGCAAAGGGAAGGGGAAAGAACCTTTGTTGAGGGAAAAGCACATGGAAAGTTACTGTTGGTTAGAGAGAGAGTCAAGGCTCTGTGGGAGGCTTTATTCCTGGAGCTTTGATTAAGTCAATGAAAAGATTTTAAATAAGTGGGTTTATGGTAAAATTTGTGTTTCAGAAAGATCACTTTGCTACAAAAGCATAGTGGAAAACAGTTTTGATGGTTGGGGCAGAGGGGAAGCCTGCAACAATAGGTTAGGAGTGCTAGTTAGGAGGCCATTGCAATACCACCAGGGAAAAGATGATGTTTTGGAACAGGGAAATTTTTTTTTTAATGTTTATTTATTTATTTATTTATACAAGCACTGGGTACAGTCAGAAGCGCGGGAGGGTGAGAGAATTCACCAGAGCCAGAGCGGGGAGCAGAGCAGGCAGAAGGACCGAGGTACACTGCTGAGGGGAGCAGCGGGCGGTAGGAGAGGTCTGCACGCCATGTGGGACCTTCCTCTGGTGGCCTGGGATCGAACCGGCGCTACATCAAACCGGCGCTGCAGAGGCTGCGGGCAGCTTCGCAACCCAGCGCTCAGCCGCTGCACCACTGGGGAGGCCCTGGAACAGGGAAATTTTTAAGTGGATACTGAAAAGTGGATTAATTCTAAAAACAAAATTAATAGGTAAAATAACTACATGTCTACACTCATTTTACCTTATTGTTGCATTAATATGGATTAGATGAAATATCATATCCCATCGTTGCAGAGGCCCTTGAGGCACGAAGGTGTTTTCAGGTGTCAGGTTACTGGAAAGGTTGTGCCAAATACTGAGATATGGCAGGTTTTTGGAGGGTGTGGGGGTTGTAGGAGGATGATGGGGTTGCTTGGGATGGTTGTTAAGATTATGGGCTTGATTTCAGAGATCAGAGGATTGCAACTTGTAAGGCATCTACGTATAGACCATAATTCGAACCACACATGTTGATGAAGTCTCTTAACTTTCATTTTGTTATGTGACTTTTTATTGCATACAGCTATTAATATTTACCTTTCTGTCTTCAAGTCTAGAGGAGGAATGGTTTAATTAGACCACTTTAACTCTTATAACTGCCATTGTGAAAGAAATTATTTAACAGTGAGCTATGTGTAATAGAAAATCTTCCATTTTACAGCAAGGGCTGTAACCTGAGTGGTTTTTCCTCAGAGGGTTTTTTTTTTTGGTTTTTTTTTTTTGTTTTTTTTTTAAGATTTATTTATTTATACAAGCACTGGGTACAGTCAGAAGCGTGGAAGGGTGAGAGAATTCACCAGAGCCACAGCGGGGAACAGAATAGGCAGACTGACAAAATACACTGCTGAGGGCAGCAGTGGGCGCGGCAGGAGAGTTCTGCGCACCATGTGGGACCCTTGCCGAAAACCGGTGCTGCAGAGGCTCCAGGCAGCTTCGCAGCCCAGCTTTCAACCACTGCGCCACCAGGGGAGGCCCCAGAGGTTTGTTTTTTTTTTTTTTTTTTTTTTTAAAGAAATCAGAATAGGCACTTCCCTGGTGGCACAAGGGGTTAAGACACAACCTGTGAAGCTCTCCGCTGCTGCAGGGCGAGTTCGATCCCCGGCCTGCCAGAGAGCTACCCACATGGCGCAGCAGACCTCTCCTGACTTGCCCGCTGCTCCTCTCAGCAGCATTCTTCTGTCCATCTGCCTGTTCTGTTCCCTGCTCTGTCTCTGGTGAATCCTCTCACACCCCCACACCTCTGACCTGTACCCCAGCTCTTGTATGTATAAATAAATAAATCTTTAAAAAAAATCAGAATACATGAACTTATAAATGGTATGTTGTATTAAAGCTAGTTTTAAGGTGATATAATGAATATTAAAGCTTTTTTTTTTTTACTTCACTCACATACTAAAAGCTTTCTAAGTTGTTGAAGGAAACTTTAATCTGTTTCCTGCTAGAAATTTATGAACTAGTTAATTTTATTCAGTCTAGTCTCAAATGACAACCAATGTTGGATTCACTTTCTCATGTAACTCACTATATAGGAAGAAATACTCTCCACGATGATGTATAAGATATTGATTAAGCTTATAAGTCTTGTTAGTGAGATTGAACTAAGACATGAAGCTGTTTAAATCCAGTGGAATGTGATAGGCCTTATAAATCTTTAAGGGTCAGGGAAGAGATCAAGAACCTTTGCTGTGTTGTCTTATGCTGGTTCCAGACCTTTCAACATGGATCATTTCAAACACCTCTCCTCATAATTCCTAAACCTAAATTTCTGAGTTCTATTGAGACTAGTTCAGCATGGTGGTTTGGAATCACTAGAAGTTCTTGGTCTAACTTTTAACGGGGTTATCAACAATGATTGGAAATCTTTGTTTCCTCTGGTAACTTCTTCCACATCTTCATTCTTAATCCTCTAGTCCTCATTCAATGTCCGGTATATTCCCATCAACAGGTTACCATTTCATAGAAAGGAAAACAGTCCTAGGGCCTCCCTGGTGGTGCAAGGGGCTAAGCACAGCACAGCACTGTGATGCTATCTGCAGCCTCTGCAGCACAAGTTGGATCCCTGACCCCCTTAGGAAGCAACCCACATGGTTTTTTTAAGGTAAATCAAGTTTGCTTTTCATATTGGTTGTGCCAGTTTACACTCCAACTAACAGTGTAGTAGGATTCCCCTTTTTTTTGCATCCTTGTTAGCACTTCTTGTTGGAGGTATTTTTGATATGTGCCATTCTCTCAGTTGTGAGATGGCATTGTGTTTTTACCTGCATCTCTCATTGGAAGTGATGATGAACATTTTTTCCATATGTTTATTAGCCTTCTGAATATCCTCTTTGGTGAACTGTCATATTGACTGCCTGCTTATTAATTTGGTGGTTTATTTTTTTGTTATTGAATTGTATTTTTAGCTGTATCTTGGATATTAATCCCTTATCAGTTATGTATTATGTGAATATTTTCTCTCATCTAATAGGGTGTCTTTTCAATCATTTATTTTTCTATAGAAAATCTTTTTAGCTTGAGGTAATCCCAAATTTTAATTTTTTTTTTATTTCCGTT